GACAAGGTGGAATAGAACTCAGTCCTGTCACATATTTTTCCAAACGTGACAGACCGTTGTTGAAGATGCAGCACTGCTAGGGGTAATTATTGCACTTGCTTTTGGTAAGTCAGGTTATTTGGGTTGTAGAGAAAGGGGTTCCTGGCAACCCTGAGACAATTTCTCTGCTCCTTGCGAGTCACCCCCTTCCTGGCTCCCAGCTTACCCCCAGCTGCAGCATCCTGGGCTTTGATCTCTGACAAAGCCAAAGATCAAAGATGCAGACCTGGGCTGTAGACTGAGCAGACCTGCAGTGCTCTCCCCCTTGGTCCCCCCTGCCCCCTCCTGTTGGCTTTTGCAGCCAGAAGTCTGCAGATCGCAAAAGCCCCACTGTGCCCCTGATAGCAGGGGGTCTGCACACGGGGTAGGCCAGTACACGTCTTCAGTTTCCCTCCACTTCAGCCTCCCAAGGACACATGGAGGGTGAGGTTAGCTGCTCGGCAACAGCCTGTGCACTCCCCCTTCCCTCCCATGCCGGCTCCTCCCAGGACCTTTGTAAGTTTTGGTGGGAAGGCTAAGCTGGCGTTCTCTCTGACTGGCAGACTAGAAGCTGCACTGAGGCCGGTCTCTGTCTGCAGATTCAAAGGAATAAGGAATGAGCCCTGCTGTTCCACTCCACTGCTGCTGTGAGGTCTGCTGGGGTGTCTAGTTCCCCCTGTTGTAAGCTGCCGATGTCTGGCAAGACTTGTTGTTCCTCCCCGTCATCTACTGCTGAGGTCTGCTGGAATCTGTTGATCCTCCCTGTCTACTGCCAAGTCTGCTGAGATCGGCTGTTCCGCCCTTTCTGGATGTACCCGTATTGTGCCTTGTTAGCTGCTGGATTACCTCTTGCTGCAACTCTGACCCCTGGATTACTAGCATTGTGAGGTCTCTCTCCTCTCCCTCCCAGCGTCTGTCAGCGTCTCTCTCCAGCGTCAGTCAGTGTGCCTCTCCCCCTAGCGTCGGTCAGCGCCAGCTTGGTGCCCAGACCTCTTCGGCCGCCCAGGCCCCTCACACAAGTACCGGCCATAGCCCCGTGTTGGCGGTCCTGGCCGGGTACTCGGATTGCGACCCCCCTGTTCACTTGCGGGACCCCATATGGGGTCGCGACCCACACTTTAAGAGGCAGTGGTCTATAGATCGTGGCCCGCAGACGTGGTTAAAACAAGAACACGGCTGCTGCAGCAGCCGTGTTCTTGGTGTCGTTTTTAACAGCCAGCGATTTCTGTTAAGGTACAAGCGATCCGGCGGCTATACAGCCATCATTTGTACATGTGGCGCACCCCCCACCGGGGGCTGCCGTCGGTTTCTCCGGGCTCCACTGGCTTGGCAAGTCTCCCTGCAATGATCGGAGAGAGATTCAGCGGCTTCCAGCCTCTGATCTCTTCCCCATTACTGGACCCGGAAGTGATGTGTATTACATCACTTCCGGTGTCACTATTTACAGTCTCTGGCACGTAGAGCCAGAAGAAGCTGGGAAAGCAGCACTCTGCTTCCTCAGCTTATTTGGGGTCCCTAGGTGACATTAGGGGTCTAGGACCTGTCATGTCCTATTTGCTATCACATATATAGCATCAAGTCGGGTAAATAGACACCAAACATGTCAAACTTTAAAACTGCACGCGCCCACACAAAAAAAAAAAAAAAAAATCGCAGAAAACGGCCACACCCAAAATTGTCCATAGGCGACGCTTTAAAAGCTTTTACCACTCATCAGTTTAATGTTATCAGTGATTAATGGCCCTAAAATTATTGCTCTCATTCCGACGTCTGCAGCGATATGTAACATGTGCGGCACAAGTTGGCGCACCCGATGCATGTTTGCGTGCGTATGTGGGGGCGGGGGACTTTTTAAAAAGTTGTGTTTTACTTTTTTTTTTTGTGACTATTTTTTTAGCTTTTTTTTATGATTTTTTTTTTTTTTAAAAAATTTTTTCTTTTTTTTTTTGTGACTATTTTTTTAGCTTTTTTTTATGATTTTTTTTTTTTTTTAAACAATTACATTTATTGCTATCACATAGGGGACTAAGAAATAATTGAAAGTGATAGCCAATTCACATGACAAGTCCTCTTTATGGAGACATCAGGGACCCCTAATGTCACCTGCTTTCAGAACATACATCATTGTTTGGGGGTTTTAAGCTGTTTTCTAGTCAAAAAAATGTATATTTTATCATGTGTGCGCAAATAGTAAGAAAATGCTCCGGACAGCAAGTGGTTAAAGATAAGAATAGTAGTAAACAACAATTGGTACCCTTGGACAGCTCTTATGTGCTCCTCTGCCTCCTCTCCTATGACATGATACATACTGGACACCTCAATCTGGGTGATCATCAGTGGAGGGATGTCCACCATGTACCTTTCAGTTGAATGGGGACAGGTGTGGAGTCCCGTCCTGTCAACTTACATACCCTGGGATATGTTCTCATACAGTCTTACCAAGGGTGTCCCCCATCAACACCTAGCAGGCATCCCTCATTTTCCCCATCCTTTTCTCTCTTTCCATATATTTCTACTTACCCTTTCCCTGTGTCCCTATGTCGTACTCTTGAGAGTACATCTCCGATAACCATAACAAAAACCATAAAGCCACACATCACAAGTACACACCACCGATGTAATCATAACTTTACGCCCATTTTTCAGAATACAATTGCCACAGTGGGAAATGCATCCCTCCTTGTTGTTTAGCATGGAATCAAGAATCTGTTAGATTTTTTTCAGGCTAAACAGAAAATAAAATAAAATAAAATCTAGCAGTGTTTGGCTGACTTTGATAGTTCCGGTCCCTCCACCTATTTATATAGTTGTTGCAACTAAACGCTTCATAGTCACATCTTTGCGATAGTTTTTGCAAGGTTTTGTTTACAATGCAGGGGAACAGTAATACTAAATACACTATATTGTGTATAAATAGAGTATATAAATAAAAGTATTGGGACACCCCCTCCAACTCATTGGATTCAGGTTCTCCATGAAATTTCTATGCTACTAAATATTCCACGGTCACCTGTTAGTGCAGGGGTGTGGAAATTTTTTTAAAAACTACTTGTCCAAGGGCTAAAGCGGGGGCCAAATCTACTTGTCCTTCATAACAACCTACTTGTCCTGATACAAAAAAAATTGTTTTAAATAAAACTAGGGATTCACCAATACCGCTTTTCGGGTATAGAGTACGAGTACCGATATTTTGCTTTCGGTACTCACCGAGTATCGGTGACACAAAAACACTACTCGCCCGGCGCCCAAAACTGCATGTCCCGGGCGTCGGGCAATAGGAATTCCACACCCCTGTAGTGGTGTTATAACAAAGTGGAAGCAACTGGGAACAACAGCTCAGCCACGAATTGGTAGGCCACATAAAGTAACAGAGCGGGGTCAGCGCATGCAGAAGCGCACAGTGCGCAGAAGTTGACAACTGTCTGCAGAGTCAATAGCTACAGAACTCCAAACGTCATGTGGCCTTCAGATTGGCACAACAACAGTGCGTAGAGAGCTTTATGGAATGGGTTTCCATGGCCGAGCAGCTGCATCCAAGCCTTACATCATCAAGTGCAATGCAAAGTGTCGGATGCAGTGGTGTAAAGCATGCCACCACTGTACTCTAGAGAAGTGGAGATGTGTTCTCTGGAGTGACGATTCACACTTCTCTGTCTGGCTATCCGATGGACGTGTCTGGGTTTGGCGGTTGCCAGGTGAACGGTAATTGTCTGACTGTATTGTGCCAATTGTAAAGTTTGGTGCAGGGGGAAATATGGTGTGGGGTTGTTTTTCAGGGGTTGGGCTTGGCCCCTTAGTTACAGTGAAGGGAACTCTTAAGGTATCAGCATACCAAGGCGTTTTGCCCAATTTCATGCTCCCAACTTTGTCGGAACAGTTTGGGGATGGCCCCTTCCTGTTCCAACATGACTGTGCACCAATGCACAAAGCAAGGTCCATAAAGACATTGATGAGTGAGCTTGGGGTGGAGAAACTTGACTGGCCTGCACAGAGTCCTGACCTCAACCCGATAGAACACCTTTGGGATGAATTAGAGCGGAGACTGCGAGCCAGGCCTTTTCGTCCAACATCAGTACCTGACCTCACAAATGTGCTTCTGGAAAAATGGTCAAACATTCCCATAGACACACTCCTAAACCTTGTGGACAGCCTTCCCAGAAGAGTTGAAGCTGTTATAGCGGCAAAGGGTGGGCCAACTCAATATTGAATCCTACGGACTAAGACTGGGATGTCATTAAAGTTCATGTGCGTGTAAAGGCAGGCGTCCCAATACTTTTGGCAATATACTGCATGTCACCATACAATAGGATTTTGAAATGCGAATGCTAAATGGTCCCAAATGATGCTACATATTGGTTGATGCTCACCATAATTGCGTAGAAATAATTTTAAAGTATAAAAGGTCACCATACACATTACAATCTGACCATACACTTTTTATACAATCAACTTTAGATTTACCAAAACTATGTAATATGAGGACTTAACTAAACAATCAAAACAACTTGAACCTGATCAGGCAGGCCCTTACACAGCATAGTTGTTGGTAGATCTAAAAGGAGATTGTAAATTCAAAAATTGCAAAAAGTGTATTTAGCTTGTAAACCCTTCATTATAGCACAGACTATACATTGAACTTCTTATAGTCTCATATATGCAGCCTGATCTCAACTGCAACCAAGAAACCAGGAATCATATGAACATTTATATAACACAAATACAGATGTAAGCCAGGGTAGCCCTTGGTAAGCCCCATTAGCCATATAAAACAGATGTACAGCTCTGTAGGGTATAACCAACGACGTCCTGCCCCGTGGCAGAGAACAGATGGCGATACCAAGTCGGACATGAATACGAATATGTACCGAAAGTCTACAACCAACCATCATAGTGTGTACGTTGCGGGGCACTCGCAGACCCCCTGATATCACCATGAAAGTTTGATGATGTCTTATAGGGGTGGGCAGACTGTGGTCACTCACCTCTTGAAGTCCCTCATGAGCCTCCTCCTGGCCGGAGTGGACATGGCCCCTGCTCCAAGGTGGACGGAGAAAGGTACAAGGACGGCGGGCTAAAACGGGTGTCGGGAGCCAAGGCCGGCTCCGCTTCTTCCTCAGCAGCCTTGGCACAAACAAGCTGTGATGACGTTTCACAGCACCCCAAAAAGGGCAGAACAGAACGTTCCACTGGGCCGAACCAATCGCACCCCAACAGAGGGGTGGTCACATCCACCCACTTACATCAGCCGCAGCTCAACTTGTTCCTGTAGTGAAATTACAACATTATCAGAGTAAAATATGAATTTTGTCTCGCTGTGCAAACATGCATCGCTAGTTGGGCGTCATGTCCAAACTACGTACACCCCTGGTTAAGGAATGGAACATTCCAAGAGTGACAACTAAAAAGTTCCTGGCGAAAGGTTGCGTCAGATCATGTGATCGGGGATGTTCAGTCTGTATACAGAACTTGCTTAGTGTGTGTGTGTCAGAGAAAACACAGCTCACATAGAGCATAATACAGTGAGGGGGATTTATCAAAACTGGAACAGACCGAATCTGGAGCATTTCTCCATGGCAACCAATCAGCTTCTCTTTCAGTTTGGTCAGTTAAGATTTGAAAATGAAAGATAGAAGCTGATTGGTTGCCATGCACAGCTGCTCCAGATTTTGTCTGCTTCAGTTTTGATAAATTCCCCTCAGGGTATATAAAGCTATGTAGACCTGCTAAAACTTACATTATACAGGCAATTTCAATTATAAAGTATCAGCATTAATGTTGGATTGGCTTTCTGATACTATTATTATCAATATTATTATACAAAATTTATATAGCACCAACCGTTTGTGCAGCCAGGGCCGGCCTTAGGAGTGTGTGAGGGGCGCAGGAGGGAGCGCTGCCCACGGTCAGGATGGCCAAGCGGTGGGTGGGAGAGAAGCCGCGCCTGTCAGTTTCAGGATGACAGCGGCTCTGTGAGTGGCAGAGCGGGGGATCGGCAAATATCAATGATACTTACCGATCCTCCAAGTGATAAGGACAAACACTAGAGCGATCATCTGATCACTCCAGTGTTTGTAAATAACTGGGGACACATAGCACTATGTGTCCCCAGTTATGAATGAACAGGGTGTGATTTACATTACAGCCTGTTCATTCACAATTTCCTCAATGGGGAGTAGCACTCACTACAGAGGCTCCTCCGCATTCAGAAACTGTTGATAGTAAATATTTCGCTATCAGTGTCTGAATGAATGGGAAGCCTCTGTACTGAGTGCTTCCCATTCATTGAGTGCTGAGGCTAAGGCCAGCGAAGCCCGCGTGGTACAGTTCCTCCTGAGACCCCTAGAGCGCCCCTACCTCCACGCTCACCACAGCCACAGCGGGAGCGCCACACCTCTGGGGTCCCCGACTCGGACTCAGATGGCTGACAACACCAGCAGGATGACTTCCATCCACTTTCTTAGTCCATATATGGGACCCCAGGGGACCACACCGACGCCATAGACTCGACATATAATACCAGCCTTGTTGGACTTCCACGATGGCCCCTAAAGTTTTGGTTTATCAAAGTCCACTCCTTGGGTCGCACCCGTCCAGACCTGGGCTGTTACCTCTCTTTAAATGAAGGTTTTATAGTCACCCATTTCCGTCATGTTGCCCTAGTTATGTCGACATTGTTGAGCGCTACCGGCTCGCCCACCATCGGCAAGGGCCCAGTTATTGTTATTGTTATTGTTCACCTATGTTCCCTGTTGTAATGTACTATAGCTACATGCAGGCTCACTGCAATTTCATGTACTATGTGACCGTCTTACTCTTGCAGCCTCCCTGAGCGTTACATTTCATTGTCTATGGGCGGCAGCCCCTAACATGCCACGATTATCAACAACCCCTACTGGAGGAGACCTCCGACAGATGGCCCCTGCTTAACGCTCCTGGTGGCTGGAACCCATTCACTATCATTTGCTCAGGTTTACTTGTTCCACTGCCGGAATATCTTGTATCTTACCTATCCTTCCCCTGGGATGCCGGGGAGGTGGTCACTGTACCCCTCCTTTAACCCCCAGTCCGGTCCAACCACCGGTTGGGAGACCTATTTCTGCCCACAGTTGGGATTCCCAAATAGGGATCACCCTACTGTTCAACTACAACAACTACAACAACTATTGTGTACTAACATGTTGTTGGTTTTTTCCTAGTTCTCACCCATCTCTCCTCTTCCTCTACAAGTGACGCTCGAGATCCACTCGCCTGCAGGTATGTGTACTTCACAGCACCCTTTCACCCACCTTGAGTATGCCACCCGACATTACTATTCTATCACTAAACGTCAAAGGATTTAATTCCCCCCGTAAACGCCAAATTGCATTCCGCCAATTTCACTCCTCCAAATTTGACATTCTCTGCCTACAAGAATCACACTTCTCTCGCTCCTCACACCCAAAATATTTTCACTCCCAATACACACAGGTATTTATGGCTAACGACACGTCCAAACACCGGGGAGTATTGATAGGATTAAAAAATTCCATGCAGTTCCGATGCACAAAAGAGATACCAGACCCATCCGGCCGTTATTTAATCCTAATTGGCACACTGTGTGATCGTGAAGTAACCATAGCTACCTGTTGTGCCCCTAACTCCAAACAACTCCCCTTTTTCAAACACCTCCTTTCAACTATTAGCACCCACCAACGTGGAACACTCATAGGTGTACGTTTAATAAACTGTGAAAGAGTGTGATAAGCAGTGAAAAGGCTTTTCTCACCTTTGCAAAGTGAAAAGTCTAGAAAATGGTGTTTAATAACCCGTGATAAGTCAGGTAGGAACTGAAATATCTCACCTCGTCTCATCCTGGTGATAAGTACACAGAAAGTAATGGGAATGTACCTGTTTAATAAAGGGAGAAAAGTAGAGAACAGCTTTATCAGTGGATAAGTATTGTGAAAAGTGCACTTGATTTAGCACCCTGTCAGACCTTGTGATAAAGGCCTTTTAGCACGAACGGGAAATCGGCTTTGAATGTAAACAGCCAGCAATGGCTGTTTACATACAAGCGTTCAGACGTCTGTAGAGACGCCCAATCGCTTGTAATATGCGATGTGCCCGGATCAAACTACAGTGTAGACAAGCTGCGGTGCGGTGCTAAGTGGAAGGTTGTGATCTTTTCGCTTCGCCTGCAGTGTGTCACAGCCTTGAGAGGGAAAAGGAGTGAAGTCTGTCTTAATGCCACCCTTCCCTCATGAGAGTGACAGTTTCAAGTCCCCTCACTGTATCTGTGTAGTGTAAGGTAAAGTTCAGTAAGGTCATGTGACCTTAGGGCTTGTTGTTGAAGGCTCAGTCTCCCTCAGAAACAGGCCCACCAAATTAAGCTTGAAGGATGTCTGGGGAGCATTTTTTAGCGGCAGATGCAGTGAACATTGCACTCCACACATAACAGTCTGTAAGACCATTTCGCCACCATGGTCCGCCGTTTATAATGCATTAATAAATGCTGCTGGTGTGTTTGCACACACACAGTGCTGATGCACCTATCTCGGGACAGCAGGCTTTTTTCAGGGATGCCAAACATTCTAATTTCCAGCATGTGTCAGAGTGCCCACTTACATTGCTTGGCTCCATCAGAGTGCCCCTTTAGAATGTTTAACCCCATCACTGCCTCGCATTGTGGC